AGGGGCAACTTTTTCATGCAGAGTGTGAGCGTGTATGGAATGAGCTGCTGGAGGAAGTGGTAGAGACTGGTACAATTACAACATTTAAAAGACATCTGGATGGGTATATGAATAGGAAGGGTTTAAAAGGGATATGGGCCAAACGCTGGCAAATGGGACAAGATTTATTTAGAATAAAGGCATGGATGAGCTAGACCAAAGTGTCTGTTTCCATGCTGTACAGCTCTGTGACTGTATGACATCACTTTGCACACCCTTGATCTCTTCCATCTAGAAGGAGAAAGGCAGTAGATGCATGGAAACAACACCATCCTGACTTGGAACTGTATCACTTCCTTCACCAATGGATCATGATTTTGGATCTACCGTTCAAAAGCTGCTGTGCAAGTAGCTTAATCATGCATACTGCAGTGGTTCAAGAAAGGAGCTTATCACTAACTTCTCAAGGGAAAGTAGGGATCAGCAAAAAAAAAAATACCGGCCCTGTCAGCAATGCCTACATCCCGTGAATGCTGCGAAGAAGTGACTGCTAGACTCTGGTAGAATCTGATTGTGTTAGGGATGTTTCACTGGGTGATGTACCGGTGACCGCAACCATCTCCAATAAAAAAGAAATGGTGATGATGGTCTCTATGGTCAGGTTGAAAAAAAATCCAAGAAAGATATTGTGCAGCAGGGTTCAGTTTTTCACTAGTGTTCTAATTGACTGAAATACCAACCAAGCCTGTTAATTGTGTACATTCCAATATTATGCAATCTAACTACATCCACATATTTCCCATCAAGACATGCCACCAACCAGATTAGGCAAACAAACTACACTCCCCTAAAGACCCTAGAAAGTGATGAGTATGAGCGAGGGGAGGGCAACATCTGCAAGGAGTTAATTGCTACAGACCCTCATATGTATTAAGAAACTCTGATAGACTAAAGTGATAAGCGGCGAGTCTCCCTGTTTCTCATCAACACACTTCCAATTACTAACCTCCAGCATCCCATCACCCTTCTTTGAGATAATAGTGAGCTCTAAAATCCAGCACAGCTGGTTGGCAACAACTTGCCTAAAGAGAAAAGAAAACACACAATTTATATCTTGAGATCATACATGAAGGAAAACTGCAGTGATTGCCAAATCAGAGAAAAGTCAAATGAAGCTCTGGCACATTCATTAAGTGGTACATTACATCTGCACTAGGCATTGTAGCATTTGTTTGTTGGGCAATCCCTCTAATGGACTAGTAATTTTAAGGCTCAGGCTAATATTCCAGGCAATGGGAGTCCAAGAATTTGAATTCAGTTTGAAAAATCTAAAAATAAAAATTCTGTGCCAGTATAGGCGACCACACTGTGGCATCGCCATTAAAACCTAACCGGTTCATCTCTAGCAGGGAAGGAGACCTGTCCATCCTCACCTATACTGGTACTTATGTACTTTAAGTGTGAGCGACTCTTAACTGTCCTCCACAGTTGTCTCAAAATTTCCCAGAGCAGTCACAGGTAGGAAACAAATATCATCCTCGACAGTGATGTCTTCATCCAAACACTTTCATTTAAAGAAAACAGAACACTATCAGGAAACTGTTTGAGTAGGCGTGCAGTAATTTCCAATTGTTTATGTTGTATAAGCAGTACTTTCATAAAATAAACTACACTTTATACTGACCAAGCTGTTGGAACACCAGTGATAAATTCATGAGGTAATATGTTTAACTCTGCTGTCATCCTCTCCTGGACCAGATAACAGGTAAAAGGCATCTCAGAGCCTTTTGATCTTTGGGAAATTAATTTTCTTCTTTGTCACCATTTTGAGGTTCCTCATATAACCCTTGCAAACCGGTAGCAATCAACGAATTATGGATTTTTTTTTTAAAAAATCAAAAAGAAACACTGCTTCAAGATTTATCGTGAGGATTTTCAGTGAATGTTTTGGTTGCAGCGGTCACTTTTAAATAGCAAAATTAACCAGGTACTTCATGTGATTGTGGCAACAGTTCCTGAAACAGGGATCATTAATATGAGAAAGTCCTATAACCCAGTAGTCAGTGTTCCTATCTATAAGCTAAAAGCTCTGTGTTCAGGTCCAGTTCCAGTACTTGATGGCCATGGAGGTTGTGTTCATGCTGTAGTCAAAGTAGTTGATTGTTAACCCACAAATACTTTCAATACATTTACTGCAGGCATTAAGAGCAACAGGGTCTCATGGTCCATCAGAACCATGTGGTAGCCGCAGACTGCACTCCATAGCAAGTATTTCCCTCATTTCTATGGACTACCAGAAGAAGAACTTTAATGCAAAAAAAACTACAAGATGTATCAAATTAGCACACTAGAAAAGAAAGCCTGTCAGAACTACATAATCAAGTGAAGAATCCAATGAAAGCACTGCAGCTAGACAACAATCCAGTCAAACAAAAACTAGTTCTTCTATCCCAGTCACATTCTTTTGAAAGTTCTCCTGTAGACAGATACATAAATATAACAGTTCAACTCCACAAAGCTTACCAAAGACTTGGTACAATTATTGCTTGAATACAATCTTGAAGTGTTAGAAATCACTGGACATTTCCTGCAATGTTTTTCCATTGTGCTAGATCAATGGAACTGCTTTTTTGAAAAAAAAATGAAGACATTGGAATATTTATAATCAGTTCTTCTGTGCAGCTTAAAATTAGAAACACATTTAAATGGACACCATTATTTTGAAATTCAGAACACAAAGTGAGGCATAGGTCATGTCCACTGGGCCTGGCAAAATTATTTCCTGCAAATTGCATTGTCATTACCTCCCATTTTATTTTTCTGACAGCAGTGGGCAGAATAAAAATTTCAAGACTTTCCCCAGATTATGGCTGTTCTACAGAACTTGCCTCTTATTGATCCATCTGAGATTAACTCACTTACCTCCCTAGAACCTTCAATCCCATTTCTAACCAAATAACTGAGATCCCTTTTAAGAATCATTAATACAACATTAACTGTTGTATTAAAGAAGTCAATAACAGAGGAGAATAAGAATATGACATGCATGATGTATAGCTATGACTCCTTGCTATTTTGTCCCTATCTTTTCTAAGAAACATAGAAAAGATGAACATGCTTGCATTTTGTAAGCATGTGAATCACTTCACATTCAACGAATCACAGTGCTGCAAGACAATTTAGTATGTTAAAAGCGCTACGTAATTGTTATGTTGTGAAACTGAATTTGTTATGTCGAGAAATACAATGTCCTAAATCTATGCAGGAGTAGAAAAGTTCAGATTGATCCATCTAACCAGCTCCAAAATTCAAAATGAGTTGCACAATTCATTACTTCTACACCTTAAAAATGCTGAGGTACAACTGCTTGGGTGTTGCTTGCCTTCAAATAAATTGTGCAACTTATCATTCTTCAGTTCTTTCATTCACGGAACCACAGGCAAGTTGACAATGTTTTTGGCACAGGAACAGAAGCTTCACTGTGTGACACAAGACTTAAGAACAGGAGTAGGCCACCCAGCCAGTTGTTTTCCAAATGTGTAAAAACAAAATTAGCAAGGAGTTACTTTGTGCTGCACAGTGCAGTGCTGAACCACAACCTGGGAACTCAAAAGGTTACTCTCCAATTTATTACTGGTGTGAGGTTGGTAGTACTGGTAGTGATCTTGGAAGTTTGGGAAGGCAGAGTAAATATTTACCAAGGAACCCTGTGACAATACTATGGCTTTAAGAGGTGTATTTTGTCCTGGGTTTTTTTCAATGAAGAAAGGTTGAGTCAGAGGTGTCAAGCAGTCTTCTCAAAGCCAATAAAGTAAACAGATTGTGAGGCCTGGGGTTATTTTTTAAAGTTGGATCAATAGAAGCAGCCTGAATAAGTGGGGTCAAGTTCTCAGAGAACAAGGATTTTTAGTTTTAACTTTCTGCATGGCTTGGGTCTTGAAGCTGGATGTAGAAGCTCTTATTCCTCTATCTGTTACAGTTATAGGCTGGGGCTCTCTTCCTGCTGCATGTGAGTCAATCTATTTTGCTAAATTTGCCTTTGCCAAGGGAATGTTTATGGGGTGTTACTAGATTGGAACAGTTAATTAGTCATAGTTAATATATATATTATTTTGTTAAGCATGTTGATAGTTACTGTTAAGCCAATTCTTTTATTTTTATTTCGTCTGTATTTTAACTGTAGTTAAAAATAAACTGTGTTTTGCTAAAAGTCGACTTGTTTAACCAATTGAATTGCATCTGGAATGCAACGCCTTTCAGTTACATTTAAAACTAGAAAAAAGCTAGGGTCTAGGCTATCCTCTTAATATATTTTGAGAGGTCTTGGTCTGGTCCATAACAACCATTCATAATTACCAAGCAGACCTTGTTTTAAAATGCATGTGCTCACAGACAGTGGATGATGAACAAGTTGCCTTGATCGTCTCAACATCCAAATTATTCTAACAATACTCACTGTCAAAGACAAAATGGTGTTTGTATAGTGCCTCCAGATATTCCAAAGGGCTTTACCACAGAAGAAGTATTCTTTTAAAAAAGTAGTCACTGTGAATAAGTGTGGCTGATTCAACCAAGTTGTTGGGCAATGAGCTCAGCAAAAAAAAGTCCAGTTTCAACAGTACGAGAAACTTGTGTTTGAAGTGGGAGAGGATTAAAAGATTGTGCCCTTTTAAAATATAGCAAGCAGGGAGGGGGATCTTTCAGTGGGGCAATACTTTCTTTGAAAATTATTTAACATTTTTTTTCTAATCGACCTGTTCAGAGATGTTATTACACATATCTGCAGCAGGCGGGACTTGAACCCAGGCCTCCTGGTCCAGAGGCAGGGTCATTACCACCGCACCCCAGGAACCATAATACAACTAAATTCGAACAGTCACCTCCCAGATGAAACGAGCTGCAGTGAAGGGGGCGGGGGGGGGTGGCAGCTTGACTGTTATTTCGTGGCTCTGGCTGGGAGTGACTGGTGACCCATGCCAGACCAGAGGCTGGAGGGCTCTGTCCCCACGCCTGCTCCTTACCTCGCGGCTGATGGTGGGATCGCTGAGGTAGTTCTCCGAGATGAGCTGATCGAACACCAGGTTGACCTCGGTTTTAAAATTCTCGTCGTCCGACGCCCTGATGGTGAAGAGCTTGGAGTAGAAGCGGTGGAAGTCGCAGTCTGGCTGAGGGTAAGCAGTTGCTCTCCCCCTCTGGCCTTCCTCAGCAGCCATGGCTCTTCCCATTGACTCACTTCCTTCAACCTGAAGCCTTCTCCATGGCAACAAGTGTACACAACCAACGACTTCCTCCGGGTTAAAGGGCACACCGTACATCAACAACTGATTGGTAAAGGTCTCATTCTTGTCTGTGTTCTTTTAGCCTGAATCAAGAGAGAGATTCAGTGCTGTGTCTGTGAACCCTCTTTGAAAATAAGTATTCTTCCTGGCAGAGTTAGTGAGATTATTTGAGTCAATATTCGAGTCATTTGGATTACTTTAACAAAAGGGAGATTTAATATAAGTTTTTTTTGTGTGACTGTGAAGGGTTTCTGATTGTGAATAGGGATTTGTTTTTCTATTCGGGAGCTGCAGTTAGCCACAAGGGTTAGTAATTTATCATTGTTACTTTTATTCTCAGCGAGAAGGCCTTTCTTTTTTAACCCATTCGACTTTCGGTTCTATAAATGTACTGCCTTTTTTAAAATATATATAATTCCACTTGTTCTCTGGTTACAACAGTAGTTACATTTATAGTATACCCTATATTGTATACACAGTGATAGCAAGTAACCTTTACTGCGACTGTCAATGACTTGGAGGACTCCAGTAGGAGATAGTGGTGTTGCTATGCGTTGTGCTTGCTTACCGTTACACTGTACGAAGCCAGATAGTTTCGGAATTTGTTGCCAGGGTTAGAACTGTTACTCTGTAGCAAATGGGATGGAATGTGTTGAGTGCTTGGCAAGTGATTTGTATGGGACAATAAAAACTGTTGATGGTATACCAGAAAAGGGGACCTTATCTTGAATCATTTGCTGTTCAATTTTGGAAAATACATAGTTTTCACAGATTTTAGCTCTTTTTCATTTTGAAAATTCATAACGTCTTTAAACGAGCATCCTGACAGTCATAAATCTAGCAAAGATTTACACAAAAAGGTAGCTCTGTCTTTTACTTTACAAATGTATTGGCTAAGCTGTGTCTTTTCAGCATTTTCTGTTGTTTTAAATCTCCAGAAATTTGAGCTTTCGTTGCCCTTTGTCAGTCTATTTCTCATTAAATACATTCATCATTCTAACATGGATAGGGTCAACATCCTGGAATTACCAAGCTGATGCTATCATGGGAACATAATCAGCATCAACTTAAACTGCACATTCAGAAGCTGCTGGGGGCCTTCAACAGCAGCAGAATTTTATTTCACCGGAATCAGTAACGTCCATGGTGTGGCATATTCCTGCCTCTACCATTACCATTTACAAGCCATGAGACCATTCCTGTTTCAATGAAGACGATAGGAGAGCATGCCAACAGCAGCACCAGGTGGTCTTAAATGTGAGCTACTAATACAATGCAGCTACAACACAGGACTATGAACATGGTAAGCAACTGAAGCCCTGTGGTATTGACATAGCTAAACAATTCCACAAACAAGGTATCAGAACAAAGCTTTGTCCTGCCATTTCTAGTCATTAATGATGATGGACAATTAAACAACCATAGGAGGAGGAGACTCCATGAATTTCCCCAAGCTTAATCATGGTGAGGGCATCATGGAAGTGCAAAAGGCATGCCTGAAGCATTTGCAACCACTCTTAGTCAGAAGCATTGAGTAAGTGATCCATCTCGGTCTCCTCCTGAGAACTCCACAATCACAGAGGCCTGTCACCAGCCAGTTTCATTCACTACGAATGGTATTGAAAATGGCAAAGTATACAAATGCAGTAAAGGCTATGGGACCCAACAACATCCTGAATACTTATGTTTCAGAATTAGCTATGCTCTTAGCCAAGCTGTTCCACTACAGCTCTACAACACCTACCTGAAAGAAAATGAAAACTTCCAAGGTATAGTTATTTTAATGAATATCTTGACACATTATAGGGCAGGTAGGACTTCAACCTGGAACTCTGGCCGAGAGGTAGAGACATTAACGCTGTATCACAAGACTGTCAATTTGCGGGGTATCTCCTGTCCACACAAGGTTTAAACTAGTTAATTAACATCACGTGAGCCTACTCTCAATTAACAGTAAAACAATGGAAGGTGTAATTGATATTTTATCAGTAGCATTTTGTTCACCAATACTGTTTTGGTTCTACTAAGGCCATTCAACTCCAAACCAGTTACAGCCTTGGTCAAAACGGGTCAACACAGTTGAATTCCAATGGTGAGGTGAGAACAGCCTTTGCATCAAGCGCATTTGACTGAGTGTGGCACCAAGAGGCCTGAGTAATTTTAAGGTCATTTTTTGTAAAAAAAAGAAGCATTTAGTAATGTTATAGCAAATAAGAGCCGAACAGGCTCACTTAGTTAATCCCCTGAGTAACTGAATCAGGCAGACTAACAATGATCCCTGATCTCTGCTGCAATAGCTGATCAAACACAGTAAGGAAAAACTGGCCACAGTTTTTGCTCATTATTGTATCCAAGAATTCATTCTTAGAAGTACATCATTGTGAACTTTGAATTAGAATAGAATCTGCTTTAGTTTTGATACTTTCACTATTGAACATCCTGCTGATTTCCATTAACATATCATCGTGCTCACACACTGAAGATCAGCAACTTGGATGAAGTACATTACTAGAGACTGATCTATTCCCAGTACACTGTAGCCCAGCACTAGAGCCTCACTACCTTAAAAATACAAAAAATATTGATGGAAAAGTTGGGCATAGAAAAGCACACTTTTCTTGCCTTTCACCCTTCCAGTTCTGAATGCCTTTAATTTTGCTGGGGTATTGTTATATTGTTTTTTTTAAAATATCATTCACAAGATGTGAGTGTCACTGGCGAGACCAGTACTATGAAATTGTAAGGCTTTCTAGGATGTCTTAGAGGGCAGTTATAAGTTAACCACAAAGTTGTGGGTCTGAAATCACATATAGGCCATACCTGGTAAGGATGACAGATGTTCTCTTCAGGACATCAGTAAACTATATGGTAAATCATGTCAATTCAAATGAGCTAAACCTGGTCTTTATTCATTGTCCATGTCTTTTGACAGGGGTCATTTGATACATGTGAATGATGCAGAAGTCAATTTTAGCACTGCTGCCTCCTCCCCAGCTGGGAACCACAGAGAATAATGATTGAACCTAGAAGCTAGAATATAACCTGGTCTGATTCTGACCAAAGGTCATTAACCTGGAACATTAAATCCATTTCGCTCTTGAGGCCTACTAAACAAAGCATTTTCTGTTTTTATTTCTGGTTTCCAACAACTATTTTATTTTTGCCCCAGCTGGTCTCTTTAGCGTATCCCTATACTTTGTAGTATTGTAATGCACTAAAGCATCTCAGTTCCGAAATAACCTAAAGATCTTGCTGCATTTTTCCAAGCTCATCTGAATGACAATGACAAGGTAATGTTAATTTCCCATCCCCAGTTGTCCTCAGGATGGAAGTTGTTGTTGCATGAGGGGTTTTTTTTAAATGACAGCAGTACTAATGGTGATGATGCTCCTACAGTGGTGTTGCATAGTAAATTGCAGGGGTGAGATATTTGGCCATTTCCAGATAGCATGTAAAATGAAGGTGAATTTGGAAGTTATGGTTTTCCCATGAGATTGATGCTTCTGCCCTTCTTAGGTGGCGTGGTGACTCAGTGGTTAGCACAGCTGGTTCAATTCCATCCTCGGACAACTATCTGTGCGGACTTTGCATATTCTCCCCGTGTCTGTGTGGGTTTCCTCTGGGTTCCCTCCCACAGTTGAAAGATGTGCAGGTTAGGCGAATTGGCCATGTAAATTGCCCACAGTGTCCAGGGATGTACAGGCTAGATGGATTAGCCTTGGAGAATGCAGGGTTACAGGATAGGGTAGGGGGTGGGCCTGGGTGGGATGATCTTCAGAGGCCTGCTTCCATCTTGTGGGGATTCTATGATTCTCAGTAGTTGAGACTGCAGGGACGGGACATGCTGTCAAAGGAGTTTTGTAATATTGCTGCAGTGAATCTTGCCAGACTTAAGAACTGTAGCCACAGTACACAAAGTGATAAGATGGATATAGATGAGGGTGACCAGGGTGCTATTAAATGCACTGAATTATATCAAACCCCTTCAATTTAGCTGATGGAGCAATTCTCCAGGTGGACATTGAGCCTTACAGATGGTAGGTAGGGATTTAAGAGGTTAGGAGATGAATCATTCATTGCGAACATCCAACTTCTGGTGATCTCTGAGAAGGATAACAGAAGAAGACCTTGTGATAGTTGTATCATTGAAGGTCATGGAGAAACGTCTGGCAATTTTTTTTTGATTAACTCATTATCCCTGTTCTGCTGACGTGGGTTGCTTCACTTTTGGAAGAGGTGTGGTTGCAGTTGAACACTTGTGGACTTATCGGCACGCAATACCACTCCTGACCTCGCAAACTTCTCCTGTTATTTTGTGAGCACAGTAGTAAGATGAATCATAAATGCTGGTCGCCAGGAACAGGATGCTGCCAAATCATAGAGAGCTCTTCCACTAAGCTGTAGGATATATATCATGCACCTGAGCCACAAGGTATGGCATCTTATATATTGAGTACCAAAGCCTATGAACTGTGTGATGGTCATTGATGAATCGAATCTGGACACATTGTGGCCTGGGGCTGCACTAGCGTTTTCCTACTTGACATGTCCTTTTTGTGGCCATAGGGGGGTTTGGCTCCATTGAACTGTTTGCTAGGGTTGCTTGGTGTCATATCTGGTTGAAACCTGCCTTGAAGTCAAGGACAAATACTCTAACCTCTGTATTGTCATTCAGCTCACAGTGCATATCTGGATCAAGACTGTGATGACAGCTTAGAGCTAAGCTGTACTCATAGAACTGATTTCACCATTGCTCATCCAAATTATTGGTGACCCCTTTCCCTACTTGACTGAGGATTGGGAAGAGGCTGATAGGGCAATAATTTAGTAGGTTAGATTGAATTTAAAAAAAAACATAGTGGACAATCTTCCATACTGAGAGTAAGCTGGACCAATGGCTAGTTCTGTATGGATTGTCAGCAACGGTGCAGTCACTTCTTAATATTACATGG